TAAAAAATAAATTCCTAGTTGAGCGAGAGGTGTTATGATAGTTTCCAGAGAAAGAAGCACAGGCTTTTAGATGCAAGTCCAGTCTCTTATCGGAGATCTTGAAATTGACTTTCACGCTCAGCCTTTTCATAGCAGTTCGCAGACACTCATTACTCTCTCTCTCTTATTCCTGCTCCCTTGAGTCACCTGTTTATACAGCCACTCTTCTGCCAGTGATTGAAGTTTGTCTTAAGAAGGCTGATATATCATCAATACTAACCTTGGTGTTCCAAGGTAAGGATTTTGTGTAGCAAGTACCAGAGAGAGGACCTACATGTGGTATCTGTAATTTCATTGTAGTAAAATGCATAGTTGGCTGTCTGTAAACAAAAGCTTCTCTCTGGTGAATAGAAAAAAAACATCAGTGCTATTAATTTCCTCAGTGCAATGAATTTACGTATTGACTTTTTGAAGTAGTTGGACACCTTCCATTTGATAGAAGACAATGATAGAACTGCAGTCAAGATCCTTGTATCTCAAAGTCAATATCCCTATACAAAGGATTACTTTAGTTGTTTTATTTTATACCTCCATGGTATGTAAAGGACTGGGAATGGATCATAAAAGCCAAAGGCTTAAGAAACCTTTGGTTTTCTGATTTTAGATGGATGCTTTTTTATCTCTTGCTTTGACGAAGAGAGAAAATTCAGAAAAGCAAACAGAAACTGGAGAAAAAGGTTACCCAGACAATCTTTCGGCGTTACCATTTTCTAACTCCTAGTCAGTGATTTTATGATGTAACTAATGAGATTAAAATATGAGAAGAGAAAAGATTATTAAAATGATTCAAAGTACTCTTAGATAGCTCAAATGAGTCTGATGTAGGTTCTTCTTCTTAAAAGAAGTTGGGTGATCAAGTAATACGGATTAGCTGAGAGATTTGTCTGCTGAAGTATATTTGCAATATATGTCCATGAACGATAGAGACAAAACATTTAACTGTTGAAAGATCATGGTTTTTAAATCCTTTGGCTTTGCATTTTATTTGTTCAATACTTTCTTAATGGAGTTGAGGGGTATTTTAGTTGCGTCCTTTATGATGCCCTGTTGTGGCTGAACTAAATGAGAATGAAAGACACAATTCTGACAGTTGCTACAAGAGGTTTCCTTTCTGCTGCGTATTATTAGGCTATAAATCACACATTTTGTTTCTCCTAACGTAAGGTTTAGTTGAGTGAAATTCTCTGGCCAGTCAAGTCAGACTGGATCTTTGATAGCTTTATCACCTAAGCTGTTTCATATATGCTTTAACTAGTGAGTGCAATATCTTTGTTTATTCATGTGCATATTACCTGGGTCATAAAAGTTATATGCCTCATTAATGAATAAGAGAAGAAAGAATTGTTACCAAATGACGGAATGGATGATGTTGGCGAGTGCCTGGTCCAACCTGTTCAAAGCAGAGCAGGTTGCTCAGGACCACTGGAAGAGTCTGGCTCCATCTTCTTTTCTCCTCCCAGCAGATACTTAAGAACAGTGGTAAGATCCCCCCGAGCCTTCTCTTCTCCAGCCTAAGCAACCCCAGCTTGTTCAGCCTCTCCTTGTATGACAGATATTGCAGTTCCTAATTATCTTCATGGCTTATTGGAATTGCTCCAGTACGTCCCTATCTTTCTTGTCCTGGGGAGCCCGGAGCTGGACCCAGAACTCCAGATGTGGCCTCCCTTGACCTGTCTTCCTAAATGCAGCCCAGGATGCTGTTGTCCTTTGCTGCGAGGGCACATTGCTGGCTTATGTTCAGCTTGTTGTCCACCAGAACCCCTGGGTCCTTCTCTGCAAAGCTGCTTTCCAAACTGCCGGCCCCCAAGAGTGTAATGCTGCCTGGGGTTATTCCTCCCCAGGTGCAGCATTTGGTATTTCACAGTATTGATAATTTGGGGAGATTCAGTATTTACTTTTACTTTTTTCTGTAAAATAACATTTTGATCTGAAATAGTTTCACAATTAAAATGATAAAATGGAACTTCCTAACAGTTTCAGAATACGTGCAAGGGCAATCATGAGAATTTTTTTTTCCTCTCTGAACATATTTTCAGGGGAAATCCCACCATCCTGCCCCAAACGTCAATAGTGGACTAAAGCATTCTTTGCAAAACTCCTCATGACCTTTAGCAAACACTTATTCTTACTTGTGGGTTGTATTTGGTGTGTTACTTATGCAGGAGTAGTGTAATTGAAATATTTCTTATTCTTCTCCACCTGTGTGGTGTCCAAGACATACATTGCCAACACTTTTTTACTTATTTAGAGCACTTGTACGTTTTTGTTGGCTTTGTGACTAAGCTTCTGATGCTTGCATGCTTTCTGCTCTGTACTTGGTCAGTAAGACTCTGTAAGCGAATGTCAGTGAATGTCTACAATAAGCAGGAATTAAGAAGAGAAAAAATTACAGGATTTTGAATATTTACTTTGATGCTTTAAAAAGTCATTATTTTTAGAACAACTAGTGGTTTGGTTGATTTATCTTTTGGGAAATACACTGTTGCTCTTCATGGAGTAGCAGAAAACTGTGTCACACCTTTCCTCATTCTTGGTAAAAGGGAAAATCAGGGTCTGAGGACTGCCCGTTTGGGAACATTTCTAAGAATCAGTGTGCTTTGTGAAATGTAGAAGTCAGAATTTGTGTAGTCAGATTTGAACCACCAAAATCATAGAATCATAGAATGGTTTGGGTTGGAAGGGACCTTTAAAGATCATCTAGTTCCAACCCCCCTGCCGTGGGCAGGGACATCTTTCACTAGATCAGGTTGCTCAAAGCCCTGTCCACCCTGGACTTGAACACTTCCAGTGATGGGGCATCCACAACTTCTCTGCGCAGCCTGTTCCAGTGCCTCACCATCCTCATCATAAAAAACTTCTTCCTTATGTCCAATCTAAGTCTACCCTCTTACAGTTTAAAAATGTTGCCCCTTACCATGTCACTACAGGCCTTAGTAAAAAGTCTCGTTCCAGTGCCTCACCATCCTCATCATAAAAAACTTCTTCCTTATGTCCAATCTAAGTCTACCCTCTTACAGTTTAAAAATGTTGCCCCTTACCATGTCACTACAGGCCTTAGTAAAAAGTCTCTCTCTGTCTTTCTTACAAGCCCCCTTCAAGTATTGAAATGCCACACTAAGGTCTCCCCGGAGCCTTCTCTTGTCCAGGCTAAACAACCCCAACTCTCCCAGCCTTTCTCCCTAGGAGAGGTGTTCCAGCCCTCTGACCGTTTTTGTGGCCCTCCTCCGGACCTGCTCCAACAGGTCCATGTCTTTCTTGTGCTGGGGACCCCAGAGCTGAACGCAGTACTCCAGGTGGGGTCTCACCAGAGCAGAGGGGAAAAACCACCTCCCTCGACCTGCTGGCCATGCTTCTTTTGATGCAGCCCAGGATAAGATTTGATTTCTGGGCTGCAAGTGCACATTGCCAGCTCATGTCCACTTTTTTGCCCACCAGTATCCCCAAGTCCTTTTCTGCAGGGCTGGAGACACTCACCTTCTTGACGGCTGCTTCTCACCTGCCACTTAGAGGAGCTGGAAGAGGCAGAGGGTCATGAGGCTTAAAAAGGGACAGAAGGGTCTCGTCCCCCAGCAAGGCTTGCAGAGCAGAATCGAGTCCTGCGTCCCTGATTAGGAAAAGCACAGGCTGACACAGGCTTGTCCCCCCAGAGAGGGACCCAGGAGGACAGGAGAGTGGCAGATGGTCTCTGAAATCCACAGCACGCTGTCCCCAGCCCGTGCTGCCACTGAGGAGGACAGCCTCTCCCTTCAGCCTGCCTCCCACAAGCACTCCCAGGGCTGGGTGAGGAGCAGGGCTGCAGCCTGGCCTGGTTGAGAGCCCATCTGGCATTGGCTTCTTCCCCAGGGACTTTGTCCTGGTCCATCCCCAGCCCCTCTCCGTGCGCAATGGAGGCGGTGGGAGCCCAGATGGGGCTTCTGAGACAGAGGAGGCAGCGACAGCACTGCCGAGGTCCCAGAAAGCAGCTGGATCCCTTGTGTCCCAACATGAGGATCCCTCCCGCGGCCATGGGGATCCCTTCCCTCCTGCTATGGGGATCCCGTGCCCTGCTTGGCGCCATAACCCCACCCCCTGCTGCCTCCCTCCAGCCCATCTGCCATGAACATAAGCGGTTCAAATTCATAGGAGGTGAAGATTATCAGAATAACTGCAGGTTGTACAAATCATTTAAAAGTTTAAAGAGAATTTTAGGAGCCCAGCTTTAAAAGCCCACTTTGCAAACCAGAGCCTGTATTTCTTCATGTTTTCAAAATTTTTAACTAAGCGTATGTAAGAAATTTTTTCATTATCAGAAGGAAATGATAAAGAAATTTTGTGAAATGGTTCTGTTTCTAGGTATGTTATTTGAATTGGATTATATGGTCTCAAAGAATGATTAAATAACTTGATTCCATTAGAAATATCATAAGGAAAATACAAACTTCATTCTAGATAAAAGCGGGCCACTCAATGAAGGTGTCCTTAGTCATGACAGAAAAAGCAAAAGCCTCTCCGCTGTACCCAATGCACAGAGAGTTGCTTTATGACACAACTTTTTGTCTCATCCAGTTTTTATTGTATTTTTATTTGAAGTTACTTAATTTTTTTTTCCACCCCTTGAAAATAAGTGTTAATTTCCTATGGAACTGGAGTTCAGAACTAGTGGTGCATGCTGTCTTCTGCTGATGTGGTGGTACATGTTTCCTTTTGATGTCTTCTTTTTTCTCACTTGAAACTCTCTCCTTCTTTTGTCCCAGTATTTTTCTTAGTGGAAAAAAAGGCAATAGTAGACTTGAGGATCAGGAATTTGCCATGAGAAATGTAGGATATCCTCTAAGATGCATAACCTCTGTGTTTGTAATTACTGCAGTGCTGCATATGATGCCGTCCTTGACAGAAACGTGGCCATTAAGAAGCTCAGCAGACCATTTCAGAACCAAACTCACGCCAAGCGAGCTTACAGGGAGCTGGTCCTCATGAAGTGTGTGAATCATAAAAATGTAAGTTTTCAGTAGGTAACCGGAGAAGTGGTATGTATATTGGTTTGTTAGAAAGAAAATTGTTTTGTTGGGTGCCTTTTTAAAACAAAAGAAATTAAAAGTAAATTATGCTCAAGGGCTACAGTCTTTCTGGTACTATATGCCCACGTGAGAGACAGGGATCTTCCATGTGCTTATTTAAAGGCTATGCCAAATGGGGGTGCTGCTCATAGGGTTAGGGTGATAGAAGGGGAGAGAATAGAATACGTTCTTGTCAACTCCTTATCCAGAAATGCTGTTGGAATCCTGGCTCCATCCTCTCGTCACTGGGATTTGTGACTCAAAAGCAGTGTCTCTTGGGTTGGAGTACCCATGCACAAGCGTCACTCCTTGTTCTGGACTTCATCTGAAACCTAGTCATATAGATGCATTGTATAGATTGTACAAGATGAGGGGTCGTCATGGTGAAGGTTGCTGCAAAACTGCCAAAGAAACTCAAGAACCGAAAGCACTTTTCCATTCTCACGTATTTGTGTGTAAGCTAATGCTGTGGAGCCAGGGACTCTGAAGCCTCAAGACATTGTGCCATTCCTTCTAATCACAGTGTTCTTGTTGAAATAAACAGCACTAGCTGGTTCTAGACTTTCCTGCTTCTTACACCCACTACCTATTGTATAACATTTAGTATCCATAACAAATGAAAATATTCCTACACTGCAGCAAAAGAGTTATTCCAGGGCTGTATGTTGATTGTAACCATCTATCTATTAGTTAGAACTATCTGCCTGACACTGTATAAGCTTGCTTTTTTGTAGTGAGATATGTAGGATTGCCCCATTGCATTGTCAAGGGATCTCCCAAGGATTTAATTTTCCTACAATTCCTCAATTTCTGTTGTGGCTTCGTGCCATACCTGTGTGCCCCTTCCTTTTCATTAGGAGTGAATTTTTCAGTTTGCCACATGTTTATTCTTGCCTCAGATCCTGAAATGACTCTTTCTCCTTATTCAAAGCATAAATGAGCTTGAAAAGCATGATGTAAGGTGAGATTTGACACTTATTCTCAATCACAAATTCACATGGGAAGAAAAAGGACTGACCCTAAAATGGCAAACAGCAGGACTTGTCACCTATAGTGTACTCTGCCCCACTTCTGGGCATTGACTTATCCTTACATTTCCACTGTGTTGATCAGGACTGTACCTGTCTCTTCCCTATTGACTTGGATGGAAACTACCCTCAGTCAGACCAGTGCACGCGGCTTTGAAAATGCAGGGATGAGTGAGTAGTTCTCCCTGTAGGCGGGAGAATGATGCATTCTCTCTTCATGTTTTTAATGGACTGGAAAGAACAGAGGGCAGCAGAAGCAGTATTAATTTTAAATATATAATTTTAAAAATGCTGCATAAGAGCTGATAACAGCACCACATTGGTTGAGTCAGAATTTTAATCTGTCTGTACAGAGAAGTGCAAAGGAAGGAGAGGATTGTAAAGGCACCTGTGCGGAGGCAAGAATCAGTCAGAATATGTGGAGTAGACATAAAAAATATTGAACCATTCCTGTTAGAAAGCCTAGAGAGGTGATGGAAGTGGGGAGGGAGGCATTCAAATGTTGTCTTCATGGCAGCTGTGCTGATATCTTCTACCTCTGTTGCCCACACAGAAGGAAAGCACAGGAAATTCAGATCCCTGAGGTCACGTTTTTCCTCTATGCTGTTTCACACATTCTTATCAGTGTCTTTCAACAGCCCAGCCCATTTAAAAAAAATAGAAAAGGAGTTGCAGTATGCAAGATGTCTTTGCCCAGAATGTGTCTACCATTTTAAAGTGCTTCTACTAAAAAACAGTACCTCTCATGATGGAATTTGTGTCAGCGTCTGTACGTATGTGCCCTCAAAGGAATTGAGGCCATCTCAGAGAGAAGGAAGGTCTTCTGTTTATTTTCAATAAGATGGTCCTTGATTATTTGTGCCCTCAGATGAGCATTCTTCACATATAAGAAATTTCTGGCTATAGTACAAGGACTGCTACGCTAGATTGAGCTGAAGTTGGTCTTTGAACCTCTAACTTCAAAATTCAGAGGACCGTCTCACCCTTAGCATTTTGGTTTGTCACTGATCATCACTACTCCTTCTCTCAGAAACCGTTTCAAGTGCACGTAGAAGAAATCTTAGAGATCTGCGGTATTTTATTTTGAATGTTGCTGACTTTTTACTGATCCATAAAGTGAGAAGTGTTAGTATAAATTGAGCAGTGAAAAAACGGAGTTTATCCTTTAACACACACTTCAAAATGGGTTCAACTGCTTACTTTTATCACTTCTCTTCATCCTTTTGTCTTTGCTTTTCAGATTATCAGTTTATTAAATGTCTTCACACCACAGAAATCTCTGGAGGAGTTCCAGGATGTGTAAGTAACACAGGCAGTAATTAAACTAAAGCTTTAGAGACGTGGGGCATTATAATGTACCTTGAATGCAATAACTCAACAAAATGCAAAGGTTATAAGCCCCTCTAAAAAAGATCATGTGTGGTCTACACGGTGGGTAGACAGATATTCTGCATTCCCATATTGAGAGCACTTTTGACACTTATAAGGTGCCAAATACTGGGTTTCCTAAGCACTGTAATAGTGTGCAAAGCCTGCTGGTGGCTCTTCTTGAGAGGGTTAGTGTGTTTGCATTTGCCTTCACATGCAGAGGAAGAGGTATGAGTAGTTAAAAGGGCCTGCTTTTGTGTTATTAGTTTGCTTGGGAAATGGTGCTTGTTATGTGATTCCCTGACGTGTGTGAGGTTTTGAAATGTGGCACTTCATTCTGAAATAATTTCCCGTAAAAGAGACTGATGTGAAACGTTTCCTCATTTCATATTTGTTTCAATATAACCTTTGACTGCATAAAATTACTTGCCTGGGGAACTAGTGCTAGGTGTAGAGGACAACTAGCATCTCCGCTGAACATTGCCCTATTGCAGAAGCACTACTGTGCATAGTGTGAACTTGCCCTAAATGAAATTTTATTCAGTGTTTTACATAGTTGTACTCCTTTTATCTTTCAGTCTTTCCCATATTCTGTATACATTGTGTGGAAATGTATTCCCATTCTGTACTCTAATATCAGTAGTGGTAACAGACAGATAGCAATGGCTGAAGTCAGGCGACTACGGTTCTGGTTTTGGTATATGGAATTTCCACATAATATTGTCACTGCAGACTTGTGCAGATCAGAGGAGGTAACTAGTGCTGGAGAGACGACAAGGCATGCAGTTCACATTGAAATGGAGAGCTATTGTTTTCCCCAAAGTTTGAGAGTACTTTAAAGTAATGTTACAGCTATGAATCAGCTGTGCTTGTGAGATGTCTCATAAGAAATGAGCTGATGTGTTTAACTTACCACTAAAGGGGATTGGGTTAACATCCTGCTGAGGTTGTCAGTGAACCTTATTTATCAGAAGCACAAGACCAGTTAGTTGTAATGAGAATTGTGCAAAGTCATGCAATCTTAGGAGGATTTTTGGAGACATTTTGCATGGGGATGCATATTTTAGCCTCTCAGACATCTCTACTACTTTCCGATTCGTACATGTACTGTGGTAGCCATTCCTCATAATGGTCAAAGGCCAAGCAGTCGTGTCATTTGCTGCTTGTGGCTCTTCTGTTTTCTGCACATTACAGTGTCGTGCTACCTGTTTGCCCGTGTAGGGTACAGTCTCTGTCATGGGGAATGCACCAAGAAAGGGCCAGCAGTCGACCTGTTTTGCTGGGACACTAAAAGAATGGTGTCTCTGCAAAGAGATGGTGCAGTGGGAAACAAACACCACAATGGTACCGTTGTGAGTGGGACCAGTCTCCAGCTGTGTTACTCCAGTCATCAGAAATAAAGTGAATTTTGAAGCAAGAAGAGGCATTGTTACTCATTTGAGATGATGCTGTCGTTCCTCTTCAACACAGACAATAATCCTGTGACTTTGCTTTTTCATTCAGTTACTTGGTAATGGAGTTAATGGATGCCAATCTGTGCCAGGTCATTCAGATGGAGCTAGACCATGAGCGAATGTCTTATCTACTGTACCAAATGCTCTGTGGTATCAAGCATCTTCACTCTGCAGGAATTATTCACAGGGTAAGGGGTCTTTGGTTTAAAACTTAAGGCAGCATATGACATCATCGTGAAGACTTCAGAAACCACTTGAGTTTCTTGTGTACTGTGGATCAAAGCCGTATCTCCCAGTAAAATTACTATAAACTTACGAGTCATAGTCCATCCCCTTAGCAGAGTAGCTTCATGCTTGTGCTAGGGATGAGATTGTTTGTGAACTTAATCAGACAAAAAGTTAATGTGATTATTAAAAATAAATAATAACCAAATAATAAGCACTGGAAATAATCAAAGATTATGATCTCTGAAATGTGTAGATAAGTGTTATTTCTCCTGAAAATGCAGCTGGCTACATCTACCACACATGACATTCAGACACTTTGAATTGATGTTGTAGTGTGGTCCAAGTATTGCTTGATCAGGATCTGCAGAGGTCAGGGCATATGGAATTGGCATTTGCCATCATTTCTGTGTGCTAAAACAAATGAAAAGACTGCTAAGTCTATATTAAATGCATCCTCTCATTTTGTTTTTCCATGTCAGAGTCTGTGTCTGGTAAGGATGCAGTACCTGGCTGTGAATGCCAGAGGTAGTGCTATGTGTGATTGCTGACAACAGAGGGAACGATTCATGTGACTGTGAGCAGGAGGAAATTTGAATGCATTGAAAATATCATGAGTTAACTTCTTTATTGAAATGTGCTTTTACTAACTTGGGGTTTCCAGCTGAAAAAACAAATCCAAAAATATTTCCCTTCCGTTATGAGAGGAAGAAAAGAAGAGCTGATAAAATGGGTTTCAAAGTGGGTGTTTCTTTACAATATACAAAGGTCTCCTTTCTTGGCATGTTGTATGTTTAGCAAAGGATGATAGATTTGGCTTCCAGATAGTCATCCAGTAAAGGATGAGTTGAATTATTATAAATGAAGCATTAAGGTATCTCCACACGTACAGTTGGAATGTCTTTATTAGGCTCACAGCATTAAAAAAAAAAATACTCAGAATGGTTCTCTAATACTAATCCTAGCTTCTTGAACTGCTAAATGCGATTAATTTAACACCAGTAGCTCCTGCTATCCAGGTAAAGCCCCACAGTATGCCAAGTTAGAACATCTTCCAGAAGAGTTTGCTAGAGAAACAGTAGCAAGGTTTCGCTATGTATTTACAAGTATTTCTGATAGTAACTGTAAGTGTCAGAAGAGTAAAAGAATATTTGAAGGGTGACCTAAAATATCAGTCCATATCACATCTATGCCTGGCTTTATGAAGGACAGTCATATGTCTTTTCACTATCTTTTGTAGGATTTAAAACCAAGTAATATTGTGGTAAAATCTGACTGCACGTTGAAGATTTTGGATTTTGGACTGGCCAGGACTGCAGGCACTAGCTTCATGATGACTCCATATGTGGTGACGCGTTACTACAGAGCACCAGAGGTCATCTTGGGAATGGGCTACAAGGAGAACGGTAGGGCTGCAATTTCATACCAAGCACAGTGTGACCTGAAGTATAAGGTCTGCCCCTGCAATTGTAAGGGGCACCAGAAGGAGAAAAAGAAAACGTAATGAGAAATGACATCTTGAATTTAAAAGGCAGGTCACTTAGAGCAGTTTCTCACTGTTGTGTACTGCAGCTACAGAATGTATTTGGGATGCAATGCTGGTGAATTTATCAGTGTGGGATTGCAGAGTAATGAGAAACTTGTTCTTAGTTATGGTTGAACTTAACAAATACAATTAGCTCTTTCTGACCAGAACGTCTTTGGCTTCTGTGGCTGGGGACACTGGAATTGCTGAACGAGTGATGTGCTCTAAATTTGAGTCTAGGTCTCTGAATTGTTTGAGGGAGGAAGACGAGGTACAAGCTGAAATAGGGAATCCTAGCCCTTCCAGAATTTCTCCAAATCCAGAGCTAGATCTGAATTTCAGGAATGGTTTCTGTCTTTATGATAGGTTTAACTAAAGTCCCAGGTTTTACTGACTGGTTTCATGTGGTCAGGATCTAGGTATAAATTTTGCAGTTTGAGTCTTTTTTTTAACGGAAAGTAGAGTTGGAGAGAAGAGGAAAAAGCTGAAGCTAAAAAGCCATGCATCTAATTTGTATGTAATCTCCCTAGATGTAAATAGGATTTTTCTTTGAACAGTCTGTGAGGGATCGGGATACCTCCTGCTCCCTGGAAACATTGTGAAAAGCAGGTAGAGGGTGCTCGCTATAGAGAAGGAGGTAACGAAGAATTCACATTTTGCAGGGAATGAAGGGAAAACTTTGTAAGTGATTCTCATTTTGTAACAAAACTGAGAATTGCATCTGAGTGCCAGGTAGACCAGGCAGTAAAGGAGGGGATACAACATATAGTGGAGAAAAATCTGCTATGATTCAGATTCTGCTGTCAAAAGCTACCACTTGGCTATTTGACAAGGAGACTTTTCGATAACAAATACAGTAAACGTCAAAACCAGGAATTTATTAAAAAGTCTCCTGCTTAATTTACATTGAGGAGGTTAGCTAACCTGCAGGAGAACTTTTATGAACAGCCAACTGCATCCTGCAAAGGGCAGTGAAACTGATTTGGGGAGCTGATTCCATGACTTAAGCAAGAATAAAGGCATGCTCACACAACCTCTTCCAAAATTAGCAAGTCTCTTCATGAATTATTTGTAATGGTTATGAATTTACAGTACACATTTTAATATGAAAGTCTAAAAAGTAGAGAATTATAAAGCAGAGGCTAAGTGTACAGAATAATTTCTGCAAAAGGAATAACCTTCCTTAAAGTATTTTGTAACTGATATTTTTGATAAGTGCCATTAGAAATTTGAACTAGGCTCAGCATGCTTTAGATAGTTCCTTAATCAATATCTAGAGTTCCTTCTATTATGAAATGAATTATTTTGCGTTTATTTTTTTTCCTCTCCAGACATTTAGTAGAAGATTACCATTGTTGTTGTTATTGTCTCTGAAAGGACAGAGAAAGCACTTGCTTTTCACATGATTAAAATCGCACCAAGAAAAAGTTAGACACACTTTTGCGATGAAGTACACAGCTAGGAAGGTACTAAGAATGTTTGCCACATCCAAAGGTCCTGGTCAAATGCCCATTGAAGTTAACATAAAGACTTCCTTTGACTTCCCTGGGCAATGAAACTGGCTCAGGATGAATGATCTCATCTTACTTGTACAAAGCAAAAATAAAGTAAACGGAGAAAGAAAACAAAATATTTGAAAATGAAGGTCAGCTGTCTGAGGAGCCGGTCTGCTTGGAGGCTCTGATCCAGCTCCCAAGGAAGTCAACAGAAAGGGTTGTTCTTTGCTTCCCTGCTCTGGCCTATGCTGTCACATTACTGAAGCTCTTCTACTTTTTTTTCCTCTTAACTGTGTACACTGCCTGTGTAAGGACTGTTCACTGCTTTCATTTTCTTTCTGCACTTGGTTGGCTAAAGATGCATAATTATCACCAGTTTGCTGCACTTCTGTGGAAGGTCCCGAAACTGTCACTATGAAGAAAACTCTGCCACTGCCTCAGGCATGCACTTGCTGTCCCATGCCCCTGATGCCTGTACCCTCCTTCTCCCAAATGGAACATTTCACCTTTATTTTGTTTTACCAAGAAATGAGTTGGTTGTTTGTTTTTTTCTTTGGTTTGTTTTGGATTGCTTTTGAAGGATAAAAAGGGGGAAGAAAAAGAGGAGAAACTGGTTGTGTAGGTGAAATCCACAAAATGAGGATTCAAAGCTGAGAAACAACGTAGTCTTTTAAAGCATTTGAAAGAAGTTTTTTCCCCTTCACATGGAATACAGGTCTTTTCTTTCTGTGCATACTGTGTCACTATCTATCTAACCTTTTTTCTTGTAAGACTTAAAGGGCAAAAAAAACCCCCACCCAAGTCAAGCAGATAATGTAACTGTGCATATTACATCTAAAAGCTGAAGGTAGGATCAGGAGGATAAGAAATGCTCTTAGTCTTGCTGGTACTTGTCCTGTGAAGTGTTTGTTTTAGTGTTTATTTTGAGTACCTAAGCAGTAAAAAGCAGAGTCCACACAGGTCATACTCCCTAGTTCTTTCCAGTCGGTATGTAGGTACAGACAGATACATATAGATAGGTACCTATAGATGGGACATAAGTACAGATCCTGAAGCAGGAGTTTTAAATAACCCTTAAGGGTGGTATTTATCCATATGGCCTTTACTCGTGTGAGCAGTTCCATTTGGAACTTCTTGTGTACTGCTGCAGAAAGACTCAGTCCTGCAGGACAAATCTTAGAAACTGCCTGGCTGCAGGTAGGATTTATTCCAGATGATAATTGTCTGGGGTTGGTTTTTTTTCGCTTGTGGTTTTTTTTTTTTTAAAAAAAAAAAGTTGTTTTTTCACCATAAACTCAGTATATACCACGGGTCTGTGCGGATCTTTACTTGCTAGGTGTGGGCCTTTTCCCAAAAATGTTGATTTTAAACTTTTTCCACCGTTGTTACTAACTACCGTTGAACTGACTGACACAGTTTTTACTTATTTACTTATTTATTTTAGCTTTTGGTGAGACGTGAAAAAACACCCAACAAAACCACAAAACAAACTGTACTGTTCTGATCAACCTGCTCTTTTTCCCCTCCTTTAGGAGTGAAATGTCGTAGTTAACTTTGCTTTTTTTTCCTCCTTCTTCACTTCCCTGTCTCTGCTGTTCTAGTGGATATATGGTCTGTGGGATGCATTATGGGAGAAATGGTTCGCCACAAAATCCTCTTTCCAGGAAGGGACTGTATCCTTGTGCCATTTGCTGCAGCTTCACCTATTATTTGTTCCTCTCCTCCACCCCATCCCTTTTGCCATATAATGACTATACCAGGACTGTAAAGATAGAAGCAAAAAGTTGAATCCCAGAGGTACGAGTAAATGAAAATAGCACACTACCGATATGAACAAAATTGAAAAATGAAAAACAGATGCACAGAACTATTTCAGTCAAATAAGTTACTTTATTATAAAACATGTAATCATTCAATTTTATGTAGTCTTTATGTCATACTAATAAATAATATAGAAAACAAGCATTACGATTGCAAATTGGATAGCTTTACTTATTATTCTTCAAAGGAAAAATAAGAAAAAATAAAAGAATCCTAACTTGGCCCATCTGGTTACTGTAAATCTGTTTTTCTGCTTTTATGTTTTGGAAATAGTGACTTCATAACATTTGTGGTGACATCATAATCTTTTGCTTGCTAATGCATCATGGATTTGGATTCATCTCAATGCTGTATGGGCTTAGAGTTGAGTCAATACAACATTTTTTCTCTTTAAAACAAAATGAAGAATTTGACTCACCCAGTTTAAGGCAATTTTTATCTGCTGTGGTTTCCAAATTGTCCTGAAATCAGATTCTCTTGATTTAAAAATGGACTTTCCTTTACTTGCATGAGGTCTGTGTCGTTAATTAAACTGTATTTCCTTCCCATCTTGTTCTTCTTGTCTTGGGTGATATTATTTTTACCACTTCCAAGGTGGTGAAAGCAATATTAGAAAATGAAAACAAAAGAGAAGGTGTCTGCTTAGCCTTCGATTTATCACAGGCTAAGCCAGGCAACTTGCCTGCAATGGCTGGGAAGTGTAAGTAGTGTGTATTTTGCCCATCAGAATAAAATGCAGCAACAGAACATGTTTTCCACTTTCAGAAACAAAAAGGCATATTATTTTCAGCAGGTTGGCAGAAAGACACCATAAAAATCTGGCATCAGCAGACACTGGCAGTTGGTGTGGAGAAAACCCAGCTTTTACAGACATGTAAAAGTGGAAGTAATTATTTTTTTGCTGGCTCTTGAGTGATTCCTGTAGCGTTTGTCAGAGTTAGGTCCTGCCTGTCCTATTTTCACAGCTCTGTTGACTTTCTCTGAAAATGAAGCTCTGCCCGGTAGCCAGGTGAAGATGCAGTTATGCTTTACTAACAGTAGATGGGGAAACTGCAGGTACCTCCTGTTTGCTGCGGAGGAAACAGCAACATTGTACTGGCTTCCAGTCTTATAGGAATATAGACTGGAAAGTTATCATCAGATGCAAAACATGACAATGAAGAAAGAATGGTGTTTTTTATTATTGGTGGAATAAGAATGGTGTTTTTTATTGTTAGTGGATAGCTTTGAGATGTCACTCCGTAGGTGCTGAGCTTTTCCTGCAACGTTTGGAGCAGGCTGCACACCCACCTTCTGCTGTAATCTGAATGTGCAGAGCAGCTCCCAACATTCATGAGACCTGTAATTCAGTGTGATAGTTATGCTGTGTTTCAGTGGTAACACCACCTCAGAAACACCATCATAACTCTTCCTCCAAATACTGTGCTCTTTTCCTCTTTTTTTTAATGTACAAAGAAAAACTAAAGAATCTATAATATACTTGAGGTTCAGCTGTAAATACTGAGGATATTTCCATTTAATCTATTTTGGGAGAAGTCTGATTGAATTTTTAGTTGATAAGCAACTGGAATACAGGAAAAAAACTATTTCAGTATAAAAATGGAGCACCGTGGTTAGTGGGTTGCTCTCATTTTTCAAAAACGAATGATATTTAAGAGTCATGTTCTTCTGCCCATTTCCAGAAAAATGCTATATAATTTAAACAACATAGCTTTTAAAAAATCATTCAAACATGAGAATTCTTTGTTTCTGTCTGGCTGTGACAACCTCTTATGACAGTGTCTTATTCAGGGATAGTAACAATATTTTTAAAAACCTTTTAACATTTCAGTATCAGTTAAAAGTAACGACTGAATTTTTGAACAAATGCAGAAAACATTGTGTAAATTGTGGGATAGTTCTACTGTTTAAATCACTGGAAATCCCATACCCTGAAATGCATTGTATGTGGGCTGGGTCACAACTGCTACCACGTTTTAGTGGTGGGTTTGTTCATGTGAGTTGGAAGTTAAAAAAAAAAAAAAAACCAAAAAGAAAAAAGAAAAAAAATGGAATTTGTACATTCATTTTCAAGTCAATACTAATTTGTAAACCAGCTTGACCCCATGAATAAGAGTTTTCAGTCTTAGAAAGGCTGGTTTGTGTATGGGTCCATATTATTTCCCTCCGTGGCTGTTGATGAGCAGATCTAGTTTGCCTCCTAGATACAGGAAGAGTTGGAGAAGCCTCCTGGAGAGTACCGGGTAGAAACTGCGTAGCAGATACCTTTGTTTCTTGTTAGTCACCTAAAGCAGACATTTCAAAATGTTAAAAAGTCAGGGAGACTTCTTTATCGGAAGTCAGACCCTCATGAGAAGAAATCCACCTTTTGATTGATTTCCAAATGGATTTACAGACCAAAATATTCCTGGCAAGTTCTGGTAAGCTTTTGTAGTCTGCTTCCGAGCTTCTCGCTCAGTGTTTCTTCAATTCTTATTCCACTCTTGCCTCAGTTAAATCAGAACGAGTGTGAGCAACTAAAAACTGCCCAAATTCTTGAATGCCATTGGAAATATGTTGGAAAACTCCAGGACTTTCCCCAAAGCTGTGTTCAGCTCTAGCTAATAATTTCTTCAAAATCTTATAAGATTTCAATTTAAGGATTGGAAATATATTCCTGTGTATTTTTTTTTAAGAGAAGAGAAAACTTAAAATGGTCTGAGTGCTTTCAAGTGAGATAGATTTATTAAGATCTGAGCTGCTGAGGCCACAGTGATGTCCCACAGGCACACATGATTTAGTGGGGAAATAAAGCAGTCAAAGAGCATTTCTTTTCAGTACTAGGGAGGCGTGTAAAGGATGGTACTCTAGCAAGTTCATGTGTGAGTCCTTCAGCAGTTCAAAGGGGAAACAGTGATTTAGTCATAGTAATATGTTGTGATAACAGCCAAGTGTCTTAAGTTTGGCTAGGCCTGGATTACAGCGGTGAATACGGAAAACAGAATTCCTACTGCAAATAGCTTAGAGTCTAAGAGAAAATACCATTAAGATAGCAAGAGAGAAAAAAATCCAAACTTATTCTATGTAGCTATGGACATCCAAAACGGATTGTGAAGAGGTCAGCATTAACAGATGAAATTAGTGTTTTCTGTGGCCAGATTTTCAAAAATTCCTTTGCCTGCCAGCTGTCTTTGAGAGTGGGGAGATTAAGAAATGCTCTCTGACATCTGACAGAGAGTATTCTATTTTATTTTCCCAGGAATTTATATGGGAAAAAAAATTGTTTGCCTTAGGGAAAAAATTTTGAATCAAGAAAGTCTTTTAGGAAAAGATGTTGCCTTTCCACCACTCATTAGCAGAATTTGTCTTTGCATTTGAAATATGATCTGCATTTATTAGTGGGTATAATCCTAGTGTTTTGAGTGCATGTTGGGGGTTTTCTTAAACTTTGGTATAATAAAACATCTGTTCAGTTTTGTTTAGTGCATCCTTTGTTTTTTCATGTTCCCAGTAGTATTTTCTTAAGACTTGTTTTATCTTTCAAAAAAACCAAAATCAAGCCAACAATTAGCATCAGGATTATTTAAAAGAGACTATTAAGAATGGCTGGCCTGGATCTCCAGGTTGGATCAGCTGGTACATGTTAGCCTGCTGCTTAAGTGTCTGTTAACTACGATGGCATTGATGGCTAAGTTTGGATTTTGTTCAGCTGGATGATTCCTCCCTGGGTATATGGGTTTTGGTTTTGGACTCAGGATTTTTTGGAGAATATAGCAAGAGTTTGAATTATGATGATTTTATTGGGGGAAGTTTGCTCATATGAGATGAGGTCTGTCTCAAAGAGACTTCAGTGTAGCTGTGAAGACGATTTGGCTGTTGCCATTCTTCTCTTTCTTTTTTAATTCAGATACGTATACTCTAACAGTTTATAGTGCAATTTGCACTTAGTATAAGAGCCCCATGCTGTCTGTGATCTGCGTGGTGTTTGGAGTGGATCCCAGCTGCTATAATGAAGATGATCCATTGCTCGTTTCCCAATACTCACCTTAAAGATTTTCAGCATCAGTCTGAACATGCAGTTTCGAAAATGGCCAAGTGTTGAGGTGTAGATATGTGCTACACCTACTGCTGCCTCATATGAATTTCAGCCAAGTTAAGTTAGTTGCCATTTCAGGCACTTACGAAAACTGGGTGGTATCAAATGTCTTTTTTTTTTTTCCTTTCAATGCTATTAATCAGCTTTTTCTTGATGGCAGCTGTACTAATTTGAGCTGAGTTTTACTGGTACAATTGAGCAGAGAATTTAGAACTTGTAGACAAAACAGATAGTACTGAAGTGTCTTTTGTCAAGAGCATGTAGGTATTTGGTCGGGATCAAAGTAGAGGACTGGAACACACGCAGAATGACATAGCATTTGTCAGGTATGAAAAAATATAAGTATAATTAAGTGATATGCTAATCTGTTTGTATTGTAGCAGGAGAGACTACCTGTGGGATTCCTTCTGGAAGAGGTAAAATGAGAGTACCTGAGTACTCTTTGAGACCTGGGAAGAGATACTTCAAAGTCAAAATTTAAATTAAGCTAAAAAGAGGGTCTGAAGCTAGCAACTGCAGGATCTGCAAAACATGTTTTAAATATTACTGGCTGTTAGATGCAGTGTAGTGTGTTTCACATTCCTTGGCAAGATTCTCCATAGGTCTCTCTTACTGCGATGATTTTTTATATAGTTATATTCAAAAGAAAATGGGAGATGGGGAAAGGCATGAGCCATTCCTCGTGCCTCCACTCAGTCTTGAGCTTGCATTTCAGGATTCCCATGGCCTTTTCTTATACACACATGCCTCTTAATATCCTGTGACATCCCTTCTAGT